GACCGTCACATTATAACGCCCCCATGGCTGAAAGGGCGAGCATGTTTGGTGTGACAGGGATTCGAACCCGCGACCCTCAGATTGCGAGTCGAGTGCCTTAACCACCTGGCCATGCCGGGCCGCAAGAAATAGAACTTATGGATAGGAATGAAACAGTTTTCTTACTTGTAAATACATTTCATCAAAAATGAAAAAATACAGCTGCATTCAAACTGACTTAAGAAGGTATTTCTATTTGACATCACATCCATAAATTCAACAAACAAACTGAAGGAATGAAATATTGCATAACATCTCTATAAAACTCACGTCCAAGTATCCATCCAATGCTGTGTTTTTCATAAAAGGTGGTAATATGTTAAAAACATTAAATGTAACTTTTATTTGGATCTACTTCTGATGGTTAGATTGGTTTTAGGTAATATCACCCCTACTAAAAGTATTGATTTTAATAAAATATACAATAACCTTTTAGTAGTAACTACATCTTATAATTCTGTGTTTACTAATAGCTAAATTAACATTTCCCATATTAACATAAAAGTAAAAATATGCAATTTGAAAATTTACCTTGGAGAGTTTTTCAATTCTTTTTCCTAATTCTTCATCAGATATACCCAGTTCTTCATCCTGTTTAAAAATGCAACACAATTGCATAATCATTAAGTCAAAAGTAAATAATAAAATTATGATTAGCCAAATTAAGTCTTACATATAGCTCACATAATCCCTACAATACTATGTAAGCAATGGATTATAAAAATACTCGCTTAAAACATTATTATACTAAAATGGGTTAATAGTGAAACCTTTTAAAAACACTTTATATAAATTATAAAAGCAGCTTTTACATTAAAAAAGTTGTGAAACATTGTTCAATACAGAAGATTATGAATGACAAAATAAATGGTTAGTCATTGCTATAAACATCTGATTTCATCAGCAAATAAATCTGCAATAGTTAATAAAAAACCTGCATTTTTAAATTCTTTAAAATTGCATTTTTTAGTTATATTTTAAATGCTTTATCTGACAGCAAAGTTTTTGACTGAAGGTCAGATTAACCAATTTCCATACATGGCTGAGTGCAACTTTTATACATTTGGTAACACCGAAAAAAAAAAGAAAAACTGATTTTTAGCTATGTATGCCTTAAAAGCAAAATAACATTCTAAAAGCTTTCTAAAAATAAAAATATATTAAAAAGTTAAACAAACTTGGTTTCAATTTATGCATTGTTTTAACTGGAAGATAGTTTAATCCCAATAACATAATTTAATCCCATTTGATAAGATAATTTCTACCATGTCTTGACATTTTAGAAACAATTCAAAGATGCCTGAAGATGTCAATACAAATCTATATAGTGTTTCCATCATGGCTGAAAACCTAGGGACAAATATTCCTTTCAAAATTTCTGACACACTATATTCTTAAGCCTAATTTGAATCATTTATAAAAAATGTTATCCACCATTTTAGTTTTTATATCTTCTGTGTATCAATTCTAGCCTTTTTATCTTTTGTATACATTTGGTGTTTTACATTATTTTCTGTAACAAAACATATTTACATAAATATTTTCCAAATAATAAGTCCTTTAACTGCTTGATTCAAGTTTCATTACTCATTCTGTTTGGAATTTAATGCGTGACCTTTTCAGATTTTCCTATGTTAGCTACTATTGGCCCATTCATGTTACAATAGGTTTGGTTGCTTCAAGGTGATTAGCATCAATGGAAATGACACAATTTTATGACTTGTTCTATTACATTTTTCTAGAAATAAGAAATAACTAGCATTTCAATCTTACTATATTTAATACTTTTTTCCTCACATTTTACTGGTTCATTTCATGCCAATCTGTTGGATAGGAAATTAAGTAAGTTTATTTATTTGTAATATTGAAATATATTTTCAAATATAAAAGTTTTTTGATATAAATTAAAGATCATAACCCTATAAAGCATTATTTGAGGGTTCAACTAATTTTATTCGAAAAACTGAAAACAAAGTATGGATCTTTGTGCATTTGCTAAGAGCCCATGAGCGAGAGCAAAAAAAAAGAATGTTATAATATGTTACACCTGTTATATCTATTGCTGATGAGACCTTTAGCCCATATAAGTTACATTATACAAGAAATTACATGAAATGTAATTAATAAATTTCTGAATAATATAATGAGTTCTTGGATTAAAAACAACAACAACTATGAATGACTATACTACTTGCATTTCAGCAATTATAATAATGATTGGTAATGTAAAGCTTAGTAAGTTTGCTGGCACATGCAGATGCGTTGCAGGCAACATCTTGTTTTTTCTTTCTTCTTCAATTAAAATGAGAATTTTTAAAAAATAAAGACTGAGCAGTACATGGCTAACAGTTAAAAAGCTAACCAAGAATGTTTACTCTCATTGAACTTCCCATGAATGATAATCTTTCTCTCACCTGTTCAGTAGCCTGGCAAATAATAAAAAAATCTGATCAGCTGAAAGGTTTTTATCAAAATAATTTTATCAGAGAATCAATTTTATTTTTACACATGATTAGCTTAATACTGTGTGTTCGATAGCATTGAGTAAAATGGTTTGATTTTTATTTTTCTATACAGAATAGTAAGGTTATTACACTTACCTCTCCTTCTGACAATCTGCTTGTTGCTCGAGTAGCATCACTCTCATTGCCACTTTCATCATCATTTTCATCTTCTTCTTTTGTTTTGCCTTTACTACCTTTGGTTGTCTTACAATTTACATTACCTGACAATACACTCTTATTTTTAACATCAGTATTTACATCCATATCCATGCTAGTATCCATTTTAAAACTCTGTTGCTCGACTTTAGATTCCTTGGAATCTTCTCCATTGTTGTTGTCAACTGAGGTATTGATGGATTCCTGTTTTATTTGACATTTTAAAGCCCTGATTTGTTGAATGTTTCGGAGTCTGTAATAGCATTTGTTTTAAAAAAAAAGGTCAAAAATTTATTAAGATCCTTATTGTGCTGTAACATCTTCTTACTCTTTCAATCAACATCTTCACCTGACTGATTTTCTCAATGAAAAACATCTTTTAACTTTAAGTCTAAGGTGTAAATAAATAACAATACTGGGTTCTTATTATTTGTTTTCTGTAAAAATTTTGCAAAAGATAATATAATTCCTTTTCTTTATTATCACAACAAAATGGTTCTCTTTAGGTGGATATTTAAGATATTTTTTTGGTGGATAAAAATTTTCAGTACAGCACATACTAAATAAAAATTAGCTAATAGTTGGTTATTAAAGACACGAAAAATGTGGATGAAGGCTTAAAAAATAAACATTATAAATGAAACAGAAAACAAGAAAGCTAAAAGGCGAATAGAAAGAACTCAAAGTCATATAATTATGAATGTTCATCACATAGAATCTTTCTGTGGATCAGGGTGATATTTTTAGATAATTAATGTACACAACATTCACATTCAGAGAATGAATTAGATTAATGTTTAATTATGCCTATTTTTAAATTTCAGATAATTAACAAAAGGATTGTGACACAAGATGGATACTTTGAATTTATAGATAAACAGATCTATCTGCCTAATAAAAGTGACTACTGGTAAGTAGTACTCATGTGGACCAGTTCTGCTATAAGTTCAGTCTCCACTTTGTTCTGACAAAATCTTCCTAATAACCCTTTATTTATCACCCAGAAAGTGTTAGCTGAAAGACTTGCATATAGATAAAAAAAATCCACATAAATAATACCCCAGGAGGGAGTTTCAAATTAGCAAAATCTAAAACAACAACAACAAAAAAAAAAAAAAAAAGAAATCTCAAAGGCAAGAATATAATGCACAGTATGTGAATAATGTGTGTTTGAGTAAATCTTATGGAATATTTGTCTATTTTTCTTGTGGCAATGCAAAAGGAGGATCAAGAAGACATGGTTTTTATTATGGCAAGCTTCTTAAAATAAAGCAAGAAAGATTAAGTATGATTAAGGAACTGAGATCAACAGACATACATTCCAAAAATTTCAACATATGAATGAACAACTACCATGACAGAAAATTACAGAGGCTAAGTCTTTAAATATGACACTTTCAGCATTTAGAAGTCCCCCTAAAAACTCCCGAAGATGGCACAAGGTAAAAGACTGTTTGAACATATGAAATCAAATCAAATCTTATACTATACCACGTTGAGAGGACAAAGTAAATACTATATATGCACATAACAGAAATGTATGATCTCTTAACTTACATATATATATTACTTATTATCACAGCATAAAGGTGAGATCAGTTATAAACAAAAGCTACATAGGTAAGTTTTCTCAAATAAAACATTCAAAGCCTTTTTGGTATGTACATTTTATAATTAAACTAGCTGGACTAATGTGAGATGAAACTGCTCAGATGTATAATTCCCAACATGTAATGGTATAGTTTTTATCCCAAATGTGACTTATATTTTAAATTATCATTAAAACACTAAAAAATTGAAGAAGTATTTAAACAAGTGCTGGATCTAATGCCAATCATTTTTTTCACAATGAAAGATAACAGTTTTTTTCCAAATATAATTTATTCTGTTATTCTATACAAGGATGTATAGAGTAAAGAATAAATAAACTCAGTAAAGACACATGAATAAAAGATAAATAATAAAATGAATTCACAGATGTATGTTCTACAGAGACAGAAGTTCTTAAGTAACACTATTGCAAGTGAATATCACTAATACCAGAATCACTAAATATAAGTAATTCAACAAAAACAAGTTCAAGAGACATGAAAGAGGAAATACATCAAAAAGTGGATGCTAATGGCATCAATAAGTTGTTTGCAGATCCTAAACAACATTTCTCCTACCTTTGGAGAAATATCTTTTGAAAACAAAACAACAATCTGATTGTATGTAACGCTTACATGCAAGTTAACCTTCACTTCATTTGAAATGGTTATGGGGACTTGGCCAAAATGAGAATGATAACATGCTCCATGCAACATGTATATGTCTATAACAACAAATTACAGTAAAACCAAGGCTTTTCCATGTCTTAAAAATAGTCAGTAAGACTTAAAATAATATTCTGCTAGTGTTTAGTGGAATTCAACACCAGATTTTTTCCAGTTCCAAGTGGTGTACCACTTCTTTTTTCTTTAGAAGATGGTATCAAGTTTTATTATTTTTGTATTTCTTAGCAGTTCAACCTAAATAGTGCATGAAGAAGTACCATTAACTTGCAGAAAACTTGATAATCCTTACACTGTGAGGCCAGGTCCTGGCAAAGGTGAGTACCCCTGCTTCTTTAATGAGAATATCATCATTGACCCTTTATGACCTCATACTATGATTAGAGGCCTATAACTTCGAAATAAAAGGAAAAAACTATAATATTTATCTAACTTATTAATATTATATTTAAAGTGACTTATACAATTAACTTGAATCATAATTTGGACCTTTGTGCATAGCTCAAAAATGGGGTCTGTAACTTACTCAATTCTATACTATCTATTTATGACTCGTTTAACTATAATCTTGGTAAATACATAGCCTTACCTCCTCACACTTACATAACTTTTGCAGGTTCCTTTTTAAAGATGTCTTTAACTTCAGAAACACAATAAACTAACTAAATCCTAAGGCCTTAATGGCTAATTTTGACATTGTGTCACCTTTTACCAGTTTCCATCAAAAAAGCTTGTAATGTTGCATTTGACCTCTACCATAATGACCCCAATACACTTTTTGTTTTCCTCTTAGAATTCCTTACAAGAAAAATCAACTTAATTTTCAACAACAAAAAACTTTCTTCAAACAGATGGTTTAAGCATGGGCAACCCTGTTTCACTTGTTCTCACCAACATATTTATGACCCAGATCTAAACACAACCCATACAATCCTCACTTTATCCTCCTCTATACTGGTATATGTCAATGACACTTGTAATGGTTTCATTTCTAATGAACACATACACACTTTGTTTTGATCACATAAATTGGTCACCCTAACATTAAATTCACCATTGAACATGACAATAACAAGCACATCTTTTCTTAACCTTGACATTATTAGATCCAACACAGAGTTTAAAACCAAAATTCACCAAAAAATCACTCACAAGGGCTTCTGCATCCACTGGAATTCCACCCATGAATCCAAACAAAAAGTCAATAATCTAAAAAACCTTATAGACACAACTTCAAGACTTTGCTTGACTGACTACATAGACGAAGAAATCAACTCTGTAAAGCATTCCTTCAATCACACCAATGAATTTCCAATAACCATTTTCAAAAAATTTCCACACAACCACCAGAAAAAACACACTAAAAACTCAACTTACAAACAAAATTGACATTAATACACCAAACAACAACACAACATCACACTGCAGTTTACCATTTATCCCAAACATCAGTTCAAAAATAATCAACACTTGGAGAAAACTTGCTATTAAACATAAAATTCCTGTTGGCTTCAAATTCACGCAAAAACCCAGCCAAACTTATTCACCATACTTAATAAAAAAAAACCCTCTCATGTTTACCACCTTTGCAACACAAAAAACCACAGTATAGCTATACAAAACATTGTAATATTAAATAAAGAACCAAATATCAATAAATGTTGAATAAAGCTATATTAATTGATCAAAACAACACCGCGGGGTACCAAGATACTTATACTAGGTTGTGAAGCAATCTCTGGTTCATACTGTATATATATAAATATATATTCACGTGTCTCTATAAACTACTTGTACCTGAGGATGACATAACCTTGTTGAAATACCGTACATTTATAATAGTTTTCTTTTACTCAGTCAAGCCATCTTGAAATTTTTGTTTTCTAAAAAGAGGGTGCCTTATCATGAAATTTAAATCCAGATAGTTAATACAAAAACAATTTTCTGACAAAAGACTGAGACATTAGGACACAAATTAAAATGTGAGATTGTTAAAATGTACCCTAATAAAAGAGTTATCTGACAACAAAAGATCCACACAATGGTGGAGATGCACCATCTATCAGATTAGACTTTTATTTGTAATCCTCATGAGAAATAAAATTAAGGCTAAAAAATTAGGAGTATACATAGATACTCAAGGCCTCAGTATTTCACATCTACAACTAACATTCAGGACCAATAGCCAGTTGTGGAGAGGTAATTTTTCTGAATGAAACAGAAAAGTAACGAAAGAATGAAATACATCAAACACGAATAGACTACTCATATCTAAATATTACTGTTCATCCATTGATTAATTATAATTTTCAAGTTGAAAGTGATGTTATAAAAAGTCTAAAATTTAGTCAGATTTTGTTTTTCTTAATACAGTCCTTATATGAAATAACATCTTATTGGCTTAATAACTATTATGGTGAGCATGTTTAGAAAATAAAAATCAACAAATAATTTTCACAATGTCTTAACTGGATGAAAAACTTACTTTCTCAGTTTTCCTTCTACAATCCATTTATCTCGACGCAAGTTATTTACAGTTTCGATGTTGGAATCGATTTGCCTAAAATAAATACAACTTCATTATTACTTGGTTGCATAGATTAAAAGTAATTAATTCATGAACTAACTTTCAAAATTTTGAATTACAGTCACTAAGAAGAGATGAAATGAACTATAAAATTACTTATTAAAGACAGCTTGAATTGTCAGAAACATCAACTTTTGTGATGGCAACTGATGTGCTTGAGTGGTAATCTAATTTTCTTTTCATATTTCTACGCACTGGATTCAAACTCAAGACCTCTCACACAACCAGAGGAGTGAGATTGCTCTACCAACTGAGCTAAAGGATTGACCCATTATCAGTTGCTCAACTTTTTAACAACTTAAGTTACAACATTCTTCACCAATTACAAAAAAAGTCTATCCTCTAGCTTTATCTCAGGGTTGTTGAAGGACTACTAGTTTGTCACTTTTTGTGTTTCTGGCAAAATGGATTGAACCTGGGACCATTAGTAGCACAAACAAGTGCTTTACCAACTCAACTAGTAGGTTAATGCTTAGATTAGTTGACAAAAGCACTTGCTTCTGAGAGGTTTAGAGTTCTAGGAAATACAAAAGTAAGAGTACCAACTGCTGTCTCATGATCCTCAGATAATTTTCATGGATGGGCTTTGTTTGTGATATGGGAAGAATGTGTTACTTTTAATTCTTAAGAAGTGCCTTAATAACAACTATTAGTGGGTTATCCTAAGTGCTCAATTAGTATAGCACTTACCTTGCATCCAGGAAGTCTTGGGTTTGATACTGAATTGATTGGGGATGGGTTGATGTTACCACAGTTCCACTACATTAACACACTAACAGATAACTGATGTAGTTATAGAAGCATATAAAGTTTATTTTAAGATATAGATAAGGGTGTAGCAACTCCTTATTGATACTGGTTGTTATATTTTCAGCCTGAATAACACCTTATGTAACACATAAGCTAAATGGCCATGTCAGAGACTCCTAAGGTTCAGGTATAGCTATCACTAATTAAGAGCTGTTATCCAGAGGTATGGCAATCAGTTAGCAGCAATCACTACTTACATGGTAACTACTATCCAAATATCAGGATTGACTATCCCAAAATTATAGTGTCTCGACAACTGAAAATGGGGAGCATGTTAGTGAACATATATCTTAGTTTAAAACACTGACCTTCCAATATACAGCTTGGCATGCTAGACACTAGACTACACTTGGCCTTATGAATACTAAACAAGAACTTTATGTAATAGGTAGTCAAACAAATCAATTACTACATGAAGTCTATTTAAAGTCAAACATATTTTGAAATTTATTATCATAACACATTCAACACAGATTCTGAAATTTTTTTTTGTGCAATATATTTTGTAAAGGCTTGTATTTTTGAGATAAACATTTCAGCATTATAAACCAATAGCACAACAATAATAAAACAGAATAATCACTTTTTTATATATTTTCATTTCTTTCTGGGACGATAAAAATCAATATTACGGTCTATAGTATGTGCTATCCACATGGTCACTTTGATATTCCCACTATGTTGCAACAAAAAAAAAGCCATTGACCCTCTCTCTACAGATCTTTCTATGTTCAGAGGTCAAAGGACATGTCATCATGTTTGTAGACCTACATTCACAATTTTATTGAACTACTATTTTATGAATGTATGCCGATAAGTTTGGTATCACACTGTAGACTATATTTCAAATTTTAGTATAATACATAAGTTAATTTCTTCATTTAAAAGTAATTATTAAAACAAAATTCCTAACTATCAATTTTTGTGTGTCACGTGGTATGTTGAATACAACTTGGTTCAAATTATATGTTTGTGATATCCAAACAACAAAGTCTATAGTTTCTTATGAATTAAAAACTCAAAATACCGATATTGACAAGCTAGAATATAAAATAAGAACCTCTTATCTTTTCTATTTGCTGAGATTGTACTATACTTAGCGAATCAAATACTTCCTTACATACACCTGCTTTCATGGCTTTATAACCAATGAAAAGCTCAGAATTTCCTCCACTTGGTTTTCTCAGGTTCATGAAGGTGGAAAGTTCCCAAAATTATTTCTTTTGTCTCAAATCTTGGAAGAATGGAGCAAGTGAAAATGTTGTTCAAAACAATATTCTTTCAGACCAAAATATAGTTTAAGTTAGTAAGCCTGGTAAATCACAGTGGAATTCTGTTATACTGACAGAGTAACTTATAATTTTTTTATTTCAAAATGCATATTTAAAACCTAAAAAAAAAAGTTATTTTGCTTTACATTCTCCACATGTGAAACTTGGCAAGGCTTATTAGCATGTAAGGCATGCCAAGTATAGAGCAAGCGAGTACAAACTTCTTTACTATCGTAAGTAGTAGAGATCATTGTTTTTTTATATTTCTTTATTTACTGTTCTATGTTTTATGAAAAATAACTCAAATTTACAAACTTATTTGTAAATAGTAATAATATATATATATATATACACACACACACATACATATGTTGTGTATTATAACTGACATGTGACTGTATTTTACAAAATACTGGTCTCATTGAAACAAAGCCAAGACTGGTCACTTCATAAAGGCCAGTTTTATACTATTGGACATGGTAACATGAGTGCATGTGTGCTGCGTCAGTGCAACCTCTGTAATGTTAGTCAGACGTGGGTGAAAGATCAATAAAATAAAAATAATAAATATATAGAGATGTACAATGTTATGAGATTTAAGCTATTTATACTAAACATTTGTAATTTCTTGTTATAATTTGTAGTCATTCTAGAACAAAAACCACATAATTTATATCTATTTCCTAATTTTTAATGTTGGTTTTGAGGTCAGTCAAATTGACCATACCCATTAGGGGGTAAAATAGTGAAAATAAAAGAATAAAGTATTAAGTTTTTTCTAAACAAAATGTTTGATAATTATCTGGAGGTTATAAAGTTTTCACATGTGAAATTTACCGATTTTATGATGCATAAAAGTATTTTAAATCTTAAAATCAAAATTACTCTGCATGTTGGACAGACAAAATTCAAGAGCAAATCATTACTTAAAAATCTTAAAACTTAAAAAACAAAAACCCTGATATTTTGTGTACGAAAGCCTTACAATGTTTACTGATAATCTGCTAAATTTCATGAAGGTACATATACTTGATTAAAAGTTATATTATGAAAGCTATAACAAACACAAAATGCTTATGAGGTCGGTCCCCGGGACAGAGCCTGTAGTGAGAGAGTTAATACTAAGTACATGATTTTTCTGTATATGACGTAAAAGATTGGCTTAAGAATGTGTTTTAACTCTTTAACATCAGCTACCCTTTTTAAATACCCCCTTGTGCATGTCACAAAGTATTACCGAGTTACATTCAAAATTTAATTAAACCAGTTTACTGTCAATGTATTTTATAATCCAACACATTACAATTGAAAGTTTTATATTATCCAAGTTATTATTCTTTTGTTGCAAAAGAAACCTTTGAAAGAAACAATTAAACATCATTAAATATTAGACACCATGCTCATATTCCAAAGTAATCTGCTGCTAAGCAACAGTTTTTCCCGTTATTGAAAGGGATTGTTAAAACCAACAGAAAGAGCCAAATACACCATTAGTCTCTTCTGGCTAAATGAGTTGTAAGTAATAGATTACTCATGCCTGCAATGATTTAATTGTCTTAAAATTTTTACATGTTCTACAGTAATTGATGTACATTTAATCCGAAAATGATATCCATTTTTCTCCATCACATACAGATTTTTCACAAAACGTCGTAACGCAATATATAAAAGACCACAACATGTAGTTTTGAGACTGAAAGATGTAGATTTCACAAAAAAAAATCAGGATGAATGAGGATGCATATTTGTTTGACATCGGTGTTATTCCCTTTTCTTCAGTTTGTTTTTATTTTTTTAAATAAACATAATAGTAAAAAAATTTTTATTATGAAAAACGAAACAATAATTTGATCTCAGTAAGAGATTTTTTCTTCCAAATTTGTAAGAAATCCTTAAGTGATAGTAAAAAATGAATATCATTTTCAAAATATGTGTAGCTGAATTAAGGAAAAATCTGTTATTAAAACTAAAACAAATGTTATGAAGTTTAAATTCACAGGCCTGTGTTATTCTTCCAATGACAAGCATATTGCTGTTGACATCCTTTGTGGATTAAGTGTCCCCAGAGCTTGGCTATTACATCATGCCTTATACATATTAATTTGATAGACAGTTGAATTGAATTTAAGTTTTCATTTTATATTTTAGTTAATTATGTATTATTTGTTTTAAAATTCATATTTGAAAGGTTTAATGATTTAATAGGTTTATTTATTCATCTCGTATCTTGTTGAATCTAAACATCTTTATACGATGTGTGCAAAATATTTTGCCCTTGGGCTAACGAGTCTCCCATGAACAGTTGTAAATAGGCCCAAGGGCCATTACGAGACATTTCGGCAGAAATAATAAAAGACAAAGAATGTAAAGGAAAATTAAAAATAAACTATAAGTGAAAAAAATAAAGACGTGAAATTACACATATGAGACAAAAAAAGACTTCTAGTGAATTTCTAAGGGTTGAAAGGTGTGTACATATTTCCATCTATTAATTTGAAACATTTCATTGCACTGTATGTTGATGATAATACCTAGTGATATAGTAGAGAAAATGAAAAATAAAATATAAACATTTACCTTAAAAAACTTTTGATATTCATTTATAACGGTGTAGAGATTATGCAAATGAAATGTGAAAACTGTAAGATAAAAAATAGTATTTTTATACTTCATATTAAAATTGCCTTGCAGGTGAACTATTCAGAGTCCGAGTGTAAATAGCTACATTAAATAACGAATTTTTATTTTTCTGAAGCTACACGCTTTTAGAAAGTTCTTGTTAAATTTCAAACAATTTCATCCACTAGTTTCATTTCTGGAAGGAAATATAAAGATAGTGATGTTACGTGCTACGCAGCTTAGTATGAGGTTGCGAAAGGGTTGAAATATATAAACAAATTCATGTATAATTAACAAATATTTGTTTGGTCTGATTATGGTAAAATTTTACCAAGACTTATAGAAACCTCATTTATGATCATAAAAGTGAATTCAGATACTTTAATCTTATAAAGTATTTATCTATATTTATTAACCCCATGTGTATGGCTGAGGGGTCAAAGTGTGAATGTCACAGCTGTTTTACAGAGTTACATTCAAAATTTGATTAAACAACTTTATTATCAATGTATATCAATAAACTTGGCATCAAAATGTAGTTCATAATTCAAATTTTAATATTATGTAAGTTGTAATTTTTTACTTTCAAAAGTAAATGTTTAAACAGGTCTTCACTTCTCTGTATTATGTGACACTTGTTCACTCTGAATTCCTCCTTTTAGATTTTATTTCTACCCTAATATGATCTTCTGAGTTTGGCACAAATTACACACTTATACTATAGATATTGCTAGAGTATAATGTAAATTTATAGCTTCTAAACACTAAAGTCAAATCCACATGCCATACCCATCTATCACATCAAAAAATGTCACTAATTCATTTTCATGACTAAGTACTTTGTAAACATACCTTAAAATACCTCGGCTACATAATAAGTTGTTGCACAGTGAAGTCATGATTTCTGACTTTTGTGTTGGATTCAAAGACAAAAAGGGCTTTTCTGTCAACCACTTGCACATCTACAATCATAAAAAGTATACTTGTTATAGATACTTACCAGTGCATACAACTTCAACATGAGACATTACTAATCATCTGATTTAATTTTATGGGAAGATTTCTTAATAAAATTTGAAAAATTCTTATTTCTAACCTTTTCCTGAGCACAATTGATACTTTTGGTTCATGTTTTTATATACAAACAAGCAAGAAATTTTTATGTCAAACTTTATTTTTGTTAAACGTCAAAGAAACATTTTTGATTATTTTAAATACTGACACAAGAATGCTCAAAATTTTAAAAATAATATGAAAAAGGCATAACATATATACATTATTTATTTCTAATATTTTTATTACGTTAGAACCTATTACTGCATAAAAACATCAAATAAATATTATATTATGGTAGTACTAAAACCACTAGAATAATAAATATATATTAAATGTTTAATTTATTAAATAATTTTATGGATTGTAATAGTTGTTTATTATGTTTTACCTTGCTTGTTTTGTCAAGTGCAGTGAAATACAGACGAAGAACTTCAGATATGTTATTGCTGGCTACATCAACATCTCGCAAATTCTGACTAAGAACAGACACAGCCTAAAAAGTATGTTACATGATATAAATACTCTTTTAAACTTGTACTTCAGATTGAAAAACATAGAATCAAACAATTTTTTTAGACAATTACAACCCAGTATTATTTTTTTTAAACCACAAGCTTTTGGCTTCTTTGTAACAATTTCTACAGGTGACTACATCTTGCAATGGTTACTTCTTTTATTTTCTAAAATCAACATTATTTGGAGTTATTGATAACAGAGTCAACAGCATATTACTAAATTATACCACTTCACCTCTTGCAGGCTTAGAAAAACTTGCTGTAATATTTCATTACATTCATCTTAAAACTACAGCCAGAAAATGGTGAAAGTTTTAGGAAACAGATATAAAAATATTTTTGCAAAAAGTGAAAAGTTAATCTTAATTTTACAAAATAAACATGAAAAACAAATGCTAAACATTATAAAAGCAAAGCTTTTTTGTATATTGGTAGTTATGAGACAATGAAGATAATTTATTGAACAACACAGAATGACTACATGAAGATGATTATACAAGGGGTAAAAGATGATTTCTCCAAGCCAACAGCATCTTTGTTAAATATGCACAATATTAACTATGATGCATTACAATGAGGTTCCTCATAAATCTTTAAAAGCATTCATTGTTCATGTCTTGTTTGTTTGTAATTAAGCACAAAGCTACACAATGGGCTATCTGTGCTAGTTTCTAGCATTATAGGCCAACAGATTTACTGCTTTGATTATTCATGCACATTAACTCATAAATCTGCAAGGTATTTTTAATTCTAAAATTTTTCACTCTCAACATAATACATTCTATATTCAATATCCTATTTGATTGCACCTTCATTTTTTTAAGAATAGTTTCATTAAGTCTAAAACACCAATCAATATATTATATATATATATATATACACTTTAAAAATGGGATAAATTTGTATAACTCTGTAATCCCTAACAATTAAATACTGCTTCCATGAATCAACTTAATACCAACGTTTAGTAAATACATCTTCACCTAAATCCTAACTGAACTGAATGAAAAGTTATAGTTAGTAAAGAAGAATTACAGAAGAGTAATAATGCAAAACATGTTAAATTCTAAAAAATAACCACAAAAAGATTAGTTTCATTTAACATATTTTGAAGTTTGATAAAAAATAAAAATTCTTTGACCCAGTCAGGTATTCTGGGTATTAGCCCAAGAATATGTGTGCCATGAAAATTTTAAGTTATTTGAGATGTATCCCCACAAATTTCCTCCAAATAAAAGTATAACTGAAATGTTGAGATTTAAAATTTTCATTTGATGTAGGTTTTATTAACATTTGTTTTGGATGAAATAATGAAAAAAAATTAAAATTGTAGCCATAATTGTCAATTTTTGGCCTCACATTTAAATTTTTATTCACAAGGTAAAAACAATTAAATTTCCCAAATGTGCAGAGATAACTTGCCAATAGACAAAACTAAGCTGGAAAAATATAGATTTTCATCAACTTTGTAGCTTATTTTCAGCTCAAATAGTTTAAAAACAGTGAAATTTTTAGGTTGGTGATGTCAAGAATATAATGAGTTTCCCTGCTTGTTTATTTATTTTACTGAAGTAATTATAATGGCAGTTAAACTTTTTGTATATAATAACTTTAGTTTTTTTAACTGAACCTGAAGCTATGCCATCAATCAATACTGGAATTGTATTTTGCCAAAGGTAGATGGTAAGTGGTGTTATGTCTTTTTGAACACATTGGATATATTATTTAAAGTAGACAATAAATAAGTTTTATGTATAAAATAGATTGAGATAAATACTATTTAATTATATCAAGTTCAATACTTTAGATGATTTTTTTATTGCACTATTTCTTTCTACAAAGTGGCCTAGAATACACATCATTAGGACTACTATGGTATACATATTACTCAATGTAGGTGAAAAGTATTTAAAATAGTTAGGTTATGAAGTGGTGTTAATAGTATTATAAATCATAAGTTGACAAAAAAAATCAAATCTATATAATAAAAGTTATCATAAATATCATGCAATGCGTCAAAAATGTGTTTCAGATTTGGTGATGTTTATGAATTATTAACATTTACCAGTAAAAATATAAAACTTGCATCATATTATAAATCGTAAGTTGACAAAAAAAATCTAATCTATATAATAAAAGTTATCATAAATATCATGCAATGCGTCAAAAATGTGTGTTTCAGATTTGGTGATGTTTATGAATTATTAACATTTACCAGTAAAAATATAAAACTTGCATCACATTGTACTTCAGCCTAGAAGGGTTAACTCTATGTTCATACTTTTTTTTAAGACATACCGTGCTCAAAACCATTGTCAGATAATTCAGGTTCAGACCCAAAATTGTTATAAGCATGCACAAGTTCAATTGTCGTTTCAAGCGTGAAAACACTGAAGTAATTTGATGCCATTTCTCATAAAAATTAGAAAATTTTCAACTGTAAATATTACAGATGTTTTGAATAGCAATATAAGTCATGTTGGATATGAATCAGCAGCTGAGATCATCATCTGTGAACATTAGGCTTTATCGACTGATTTTGTGTGATTGTCATTATGTGATTGCCACACAGTAATAGACACACCTAAACGAGAAAAGATCTTACAAAACAGCATCAAAGCTAATATAGTATAATTATTTCAGGAAATATAAAACTATACATTTTAATGATAAAACTTTTTATAATAATGTCAGCTTACTGAAAACTGAAAAATATGAAACACGTCAGAATCATAACATCAATTTTAATTTCAAACTAAAATACTCAGTTGATCATTCAGAGAATAAGTTTTGTTTCAGAAGTACTACCTCTGGATGGTTTGGCACCCCAGGATCATCAATAGCACAAATCAGTAAATGATGAACAACTGATAACAATTCCTCTTCACTCTTTTCATCATTATTTAGTAACCCCATCTGGAAGGTATTTAATGTTGGAAACTTCTCCATGTCTAAAAAAAATTTATCACATGCACACCTAAGAACATGTTTAGCTTAAAAGCATATTTCTCTTATGAATAATAAAAATAACAATATTTGGAACACTATCAGTGGTTAAAAGGAAAAAATAATAATTCATGTTATTTAAGTCCTGATGGATACAATTCTATATTTCATTTTGATTTAAAATAGTGAACCTCTAAAAATTAAAGCTCTTAATGTACTAAAACTGGAAACTTCTATTCACTTGTTTATAAATTGATACAAAAAAATCTTAACATGTACTTGTATTTTCATTATTATAAAAAACCAATATGATTCATAGAGGTCTGGTATATATATACCCAAGGGGCTCTTCTAAATGAAAATTAGGCTTAGATAAACATAATCTTAACTTTTAAATTAGTAAATAAATAAAAATATTAATGAAAAACCAAATATTTTGGTTAAACGTTTTTTTTTTTAATTAACATAGCATCCCACAAAAGTGTCCCTAATCAGTAGGCATGAACACTATAAAAAATATGCATTACATATTTTAACAACAGAATATTCCTAAAGTAGTAAAAAATACTTGCTGAAAAGAGACCAAGAACAATATTTCTTTTAACAATGTCACATTTTATGTTACTATGAGGTATAAATTCAAAGATCAAGAAAGCCTCTGATTAACAGTTAAAGATAACTGTGGGAATACTTACCAAAACCTATTGTATCACCAAAGTTATGAAGAAATTCAAAAACCATCAGGGTGTTAGAGAATGCTTTTCCTGCTAACTTGAGTCCAGGAATCCTGTTCAAGGTAGGGAGAGGCTGAAAATAAAAAACCAACAGGCACCTAATATTAGCACATCATTACAGAGAAACTGAATTACAACCTACATGCTGTAAAAGAAAACAATAACAATTAAAAAATGGCACACACAATGTTCAATATTGGAAAAAATTAAAATTTTCAAATTTCATATGTAATAAAAAATATCATTCTTGTTTTATGAAAATATCTCATTGTTTGAGACTTTATTTTATTGGAAAAAATTCTATTAAATGCCAAATTTAATAATTAACAAGTTAATACATTCCAGTTCAATTTACAAAAATTAACTGTAAATGGAACATACAGAATACATATTTTTTTTTTCATAGAGTTTGAAGAAATTTTGCTTTACACTTTCATTACTTTACATCCAATTTAAATGGTGTTTGTAAAGTATTTTTATGTTTGCTCAGTACTTTATTATAATATTTAAATTTGATGACAAGGAACTCACTTTTTAGAAAATATAAGTTTAGATATGGGTTGATTGGGTAACGAAGAAAATTATATTATAAATGTACGAGGTTTCGACAAGAATATGTCATCCTCATGTTCAAGTAGTTTATACAGACACATGAATATATATATATATATACAGTATGGAACAAAGAGGTCACATGACTGGAGATTGCTTCACAGACTAGTACAGGTATCTTGATACCCTGGGAGTTGTTTTGTTCAATTAAGATAACTTCCTTTATTCTGAATTTATTGATGTTTGGCTCTTTGTCTAAAATTACAGTGTTTTGTATAGATATACTGTGGTTTTTTGCAGTGGTGGCAAACATGAGAGGTTTTTTTTATTAAGTTTGATGAATCTTGTTTTCAATTTTCTTCTGGTTTCTCTGATGTAGAATTCTGGACATTTATTGCATGTTATTTTATCAATGCTGTTGGTATTGTGTAATTCTATATACTTTTTACTTAATAATGATTTTAGTTAAGGGCTGGGTTTTTGGGTGAACTTGAAGTCAACAGGAATTTTATGGTTAATAGCAAGTTTTGTTCGAGTGTTGATTATTTTTGAACTGATATCAGGGATAAATGGTAAACTGCAGTGTAATGTGTTGTCTGGTGTATTAGTGTCAATTATGTTTGTAAGTTAAGTTTTTAGTGTGTTTTTTCTGGTGGTTGTGTGGAAATTTCTCGACAATGGTTAGTGGAAATTTGTTGGTGTGATTGAAGGAATGCTTTACAGGATTTATTTCTTCATCTATGTAGTCAGTTGAGTAAAGTCTTCAAGTTGTGTCTATAGGTTTTTTTAGTGTATTGATTTTTTGTTTGGATTCATGAGTGGAATTCCAGGGGATGCAGGGTACCACGATAGCTGTACTAGGCTATGAAGTAGTCTCAAGTCATGTGACCTCTTTCTTCCATACTGTATATATATATATTCATGTGTCTCCGTAAACTACTTGTACTTTAGGATGACATAACCTTGTCTAAACATCGTACATTTAGAGTTACGTTTTCTTCATTACCCAGTCAAGCTGTCCCCAAACTTTTATTTTACTTTATTATAATAGGCAAATTCTGATGATAGACAGCAGTGCTGCCACTAGTACTGCTACATTGCTTCTCAGCCATTAAAATGGAGTATAGTACATAGCAAGAAGAAAAATTTGCAAAAGTAAAATTTAAGTTCCTGAATTATGTTTAGCTGAATAATTCTTTTATTTTTTAATTCTAGAGGTTAAAATAAAAATATGAGATAGTATTCCCAAAAATGTAATAAAAAAAGACAAATTAAGTTTTTAATGCCTTTTCCCGTGGAAGAATCAGTAAATACAATGCTAACAAAAGTTTTACTATGATTAATAGCTATTTTAATTTTTAACTTACAACAGAATCTTTCAGCATCATATCATCCACTGGTTTTTTCATTTCTCTCATCACTTGTAACTCCATTCTTCTCTGCTCCTGGTGTGAGTATAGTGAAGCAGTTATTAACCATGTTAATAAAAAATAAATATAATTATGTTATTCCATTTTAAATATTTTCACAAAAGGAAACGTTTTGCAGTGATTCAAAAAATTATATTTTAAATTTAATCTTTTATCTTTCTCAAATCACATCCGAGTAAAACAAAAAAAAAACAACAACCATGAAAGTTGGTTATTGCACTGAAATAAAACATAATGAAAATGGAATTACTGTACAAAAATAAATTATATTTTTTCAAAACATGCACAGAAAAAACTAAATGAATGCAAAAATAGCCCATTTGTATTAAACCAAGTAATATATTTTAAAGGAGTATCTAAAGTCTTAGACTAAAAGTAAATCTACATAACTATTTGTAACTCTTCACAAAAACTGGTACAGTTTACTTTGTATAAAAGGACACAAAATTTAAAAAGGTGCTTAAAATAAATTTTAAAGTTATTCTTATCCTTTGAATCAGGTTTTCATCTATTTGTAGATAGAATTAAGTCAGGAAAGGTACTTTATTTAAAGTAAATTAAAATATACACCTGGAAAAAAGTTAAGCACCCCCGTGTTTTTTTCAAGTGATTCAGATTCGACGTTCTTGTGACTGATTATAAATTACCATTCAATCTGAAACGGTGATAATCTTGTTTTTTTGTGCCCAATAATGCATAATTTCATTTGATAAACACGCAGTAAAGGCTTATTTAGAGAATGAATCCGTCAACACTCTTCCTTGGCCAGCAAGAAATCCAGATCTCAACCCTATAGAGCATCTGGGACCAATTGGGTAGGCGAATACAGGCTTTGGAGCCTCCTCCACAGACATTGCAACAGTTAGAAGCTCACTTGCACCGAGAATAGCGACAGATAACGCTTCAACAAATCAGATATACTGCGGCGCAGGGTTGCAGCAGTCATCCAGGCAAACGGTGGATATACCCGATATTGACTTTTCGATGACTAATTATCAATGTGTGGGTCATGATTGACATTTTGTAATGTGATTTGACAATTCAATAACGTTTTTGAGCTTTCACTGACAATACTTATTAAAGATAATTTTAAGCGTGAAAACTGTCCATATTTTGATGTCATGATATGTAAATTAAAAATTGTTATTTTAGACCTTTATTCATGGATGACAACGCTAGACCTCATCGCTCTAGGGTGACGCTAACGTGTGGTTGTCAAAATGAGGCACAACTACAGGTGTAAGCACGTCCCTGGATGACTGCTGCAACCCTGCGCCGTATACTGCCAGTTAGACGTCTGATTTGTTGAAGCGTTATCTGTCACCATTCTCGGTGCAAGTGAGCTTCTAACTGTTGCAATGTCTGTGGAGGAGGCTCCAAAGCCTGTATTCGCCTACCCAATTGGTCCCAGATGCTCTATAGGGCCATGCCACATTTTTGTTCAACTTTGGGCATGATGGTGGGTAAAATTGAATACATGGCCTAGTTAACT